TGTCCTTCACCAACCTGGGAGCTCACAGACATTCTGTGTCCAGCGCTGTTATCTTGCGGTTCCATGATGTAGGGCTGGCCCAATCAATCACTGTCCACGTGATTGAAGTCCATATCCAGCTTTCCTCCACCGAGGTGGGGCTGAGGCCGCGGGAGAGGGGGTGCTTTCTAACGTGGCTAGCCCCCACTCAAAGGTCACCGTGCTAACAGAAACTCTCCAGTACAGAGGCTTCATAGACACCCATCTGGGGAAAGTCGAAGGATTTGGAGTTTCTTGCTCAAGAACTGAGGACCATGGTTGAATTCTTTGGGTAAAGTTAATAGTAAACTCCCTAATCAGTCATAACGTTTCCTGTCTACTGGATCCTTCCTAGTAGCATAAACTATGCCCTAATAACCATTATTTAAAAAACAAACACAGACAAATACTCTCTTAACCCCCATAACCCACCTCAAGTTACGGTCCTTCTCTGATACTTTCTGCAGCAAAAGAGTCACTCTCAGTGGCTGTCTCCACTGTTCTTGCGTTTATTCTTCCCTTTCTCTTTACTTTGAAACCTTCACACGCGTGAGACTGTGGCATCGTGAACCCCCGCATTCGCATCGAAATCCAATGACTGTAAAGGTTTCCTCTACTTGAGTTGTCTGGTCTCCTTTTGTTCCGAAGTATTTTTCACAGCCAGTTCCAAACCTCATGCCATTTTACTCCCGGGTGCTGGCATCTGCAGTCAGCACATGGCCTTGCTTGTCTGGTGCTGCCGTAGCAGAAGTGACCCACGTGAAGACGTGCATTCTCTCACGGTTTGAACTCAGGAACTCACTCCCTGCTGTCCCACGGGCACCAGCTCACAGTGGAACTCTCCCTGTGGGTTTCCGAGACTGTAACTCTTTCTTTTCTTTTTCTTTTTTTTTTTTTCCTTTTCTTTTTCTTAAAATGGGTCATTCTATTGGGGACCCTTACACATCCATCGATCAATTACCACAATTGTAACTATCAATTCTAACAATCCATAGATCAATTACCTCAAGGAACTTGTACAGAGGCTGCCTCGTCATTTTCAAAACATTTCTTTCCACTTGAGCCCCTTGACATCAGCTCCTCTTTACTTCCTCCCTCCCCAACCCTACTACCCCCGGGAACCCTTCATAAATTATATATTATTAGTTTTTCATATCTTACACCATCCAATATATCCCTTCAGCCACAGTTCTGTTATTCGTCCCCCTCTAGCGGGGTTGTATATCCACCATTGCTATCAGTTCCCCTTCCCCCCCTCCTACTCCCTTCCCGTATCCTCACAGAATCATTACTCCCATTACTGCTTGGGGGGGGGGGTATCTATCCAGGATTCTGTGTGTCAAAGTGGGCCGGAAGGGGAGTAGAAAGCTCTCTCTCTCTCCCTCAGAGTGGCTGGTGGTTTCGAACATGTAACCACTAGGCCGCCAGGGCTCTCATTCAAGAAGATAAAATCCTTTACAATTTTAAGATTTTCTCCCGTTATCATGAAGGCCTCGTTGGGTCCAGCTGTGATTCTTGAATTACAGTCCATATTGCAGGCTGCCATCCTTGATCTGCATTAGCCAGTGCTTCCGGTCCTCCTCGTTCTCAGCAAGCAGAGCTGTGTCAGATGACAAATGTGTCATCTGCTAAGCCTTCCTCAATCCTGGTGCCCATCCTCTTCTTCATCTGACCCAGCTTCTGCGATTGAGCAAGTCTGGTGACAGACTGCAACCCTGACGACACCTTCCCTGATTTGAAGCCACCCAGCTTTCCCTGGCTCTGTTCGTGCAGTTCCACATGAGCACAGTGAAGCGCTCTGGGCTTCCCGGTCTTCTCAACGTCACGTAGTTGGCTGTGATCCTCACAGTCAACCGCCTTGGCATAAATAGACCAAATGGCATTTCATGCTTTGAGTCAAGAGCCTTTTGATGGCAGCCAGGATCGACCTTGTCCATGCCCTCGTCTGAATCCAGCTTGAATTTTCCCAGCTCACTGTCAATGTGTTGCTGCGACCCCTGTTGGATGACCTTCAGCAAAATGTTGCTTGCCTGTGATGTTTATGATAGTCTTTGATATATTCCACGTTCTCTGGGGTCGCCTTTCTTTGGAAGAGGTATACAGATGGATCTCTACTAGCCAGTTGGCCAGGTAGCTGTCTTTCAAATTTCTTGTTGGCAAACTGGGACACTCTTGAGCCATATTTGGCTCTTTGGGTGCGTACATGTGACTCCGACGTAAAATCGAAAAAAATTTAAAGGGTATTATTCAGATAATGGTGATTTAATTTTATATACTTTTGCTCTCTAATACTTTTAAAATTGTGAGGGACAGGGGTTGGCCCTTCCATCTCCAAAGTTTGCCGACCCCGTGAGTGCGTCCAGTGCTTTAGCTTGTTGGAACCTTTCAATAGGAATTCCATCAACTCCTGGAGCCTGTTTTTTTGGCTAATGCTTTCAGTGCGGCTTGGGCTTCTTCCTTCAGTAGCATCAGTTCTTGATCATATGCTAACCCTTGAAATAGTTGAATGTCGCCAGCCCCACTACAAGACACAACATCCCTCACTGACCCATAGCCCTACAGGGGACAACACTGGAGACACAGTGTGGGAATTTCAACCTATCTGACCCCACCACACTGAGGTAAAACACTTTGCAACAGAACAGCAAAAGGATCAGAGCAAGGAAGCCCATGGGGAATACCAAAAACAGACTTTGGGGCCAGGGCATGGCACCCCATCAGACTCAACTGGAAAACACTCCTAAAGATCAACAAACAGATCTTGAACTATCTACAGGCTTTTTTCTTTTTTTGTCATTGTTGTTTTCTTTTGTTGCTTTGTTTTG